ATATATTTTGAAAGTTATAAAAAATAACTTATCTTCTACAATTGATGACACACAACCCAATTATGCCAAAATAATTGCTCTTCCCACCATATCCAATTTGAGAACACTTGGGCTGTCTTACAAGGTAGGACTTCTTCTATTTTACTATATTATATAGAACAATAGTCTTTTTGCGAATAAAATTATCGATACTTTATTTTTTTGGATATAATAGAAAAATAAGTTAATTTCTCCTAGCCAAATTTATTTTTATAGGTTTTTATTTCTTCTAATTTTACAGAGACGAAACTATATAAAAAAAAAATCTCTCTTACATTCCCTTTCTTATTTCCCCAAATTAAAATTGTTTTTGCTTATCTTAAGTATGTAGGTTTCTTTTCTTTTCCTTTCTTCTTTCTTCCTTGTATAAATGGACTATTATTTGAATTATAAATACATTTATCTTGCTATACCATTACTGCCTCAATAAATCTACTCTTCTATACAATTAGATAATTTTAGAGATTTTAAACCTGACTATCATTTAAAATCTTTTGCGTTTATATAAGATGGTAAACGTGCAACACCATATCCTTTATTTCCAATCTAATAATATACCTTTCCCAATAGAAAAAAATTGAGTGAGCCCCAACACAATCCATGGTAGGTTTCAATTTTATTTTTATTATTTATTATTTTATTTTTTCGGTTGTATTATGAATGGTATTGCGAAGCTGATTAGAATCATCATCAGGCTTATTTTGTTTAATCTTAACATATTATTCTAGCCCTTTCATCTTTCCATGCTACAAACAACCAAGTGATTGAAGCGGGATAGTTTAATTCTGTAAAATTTTTATACTTTCATTAATTTATTATTTCATTCATTTCCTCACTCTTTTACGAAGTTTATAAACTTGATAAATAAAGCGATATTAAATGGAACTTTGCTTAATAAACCACCTTTGTAAACACACCAAAAAAAAAAAAAAACAAAAAAGAAAAAGCGCTTACTAATTTATTAATTGATTAATTTTAAAAAAAAATGAACCCAAGTTCCTTTTTCTTTAGGTTATATAAATTTAATAGAAATATTATAAGTGTAGGACTGGTTCCAGTGATTTGTGACCCGATCATTCACCATTGAACCAAAATAGTTGGTGAGATTACGAGCAGGCGAAGATTCCCTTTACCAAATTTCCGACTGTTTTTTACTGCAGAGGCAGATAATCATTGATGTTACTAGTCAGCCGAGATGCCTTACTCAATTGGCTTCGTCAGCCAATGTAGCGTTATTTTTTTGGTTCCCGCTTCTTTTAGTAGTTCTAAAAGCATACCACATTTGAGAAGGTAAAAGCCAAATCTGATACTCCACAAACATTGTGACTCGAAAACTTCCGAAATATTGAACTTCAATAAAATATTAGTGCATCTTTGTTCGAATGACACATTATGCTTACTTCGATTTCTCTGTCTAAACAAGCCTCGAAATGTTTGAATTCCACCCGATATCTATCTTTTTAAAATTTTGGAATTAATCTGCTTCTGCCATTCTTAGACCGTGTGGGATTTTGGGCACTCTACTTACGGTGCGAAAAATCTTCCAAACTTGAGTTCTTTCGAGCCGCTTACATTGTTAACCCCGCTTAACCTAATCTTGTAGGAGAGACCCAAATTTTGCGTGAGCTGTGATTTGTTGATGATTATTGTTGAACAAGGGTATCAACCCCAATGTCTTTAATCCTATAATGTGATTTGGTGAATGGTTCTATCTGTTTATACCTATAATGTGATTGTGAATGGTCTGTGTAAAATTGGGAAAACCACTGTTGCCTTTGGTATTCTGAAAAGAATGGTGGAGAAAGGTTGTGAGCCGGATTTGGTGTCATATAATGCTATCTTTGACAGCCTCTGCAAGGATAGATTTGTTACTGAGGCATTAGACCTCTTCTTCAAAATAAAGAGCAAAGGTATCTTACCTGATGTTTGTGACCTACAACACCTTAATCCGTGGTCTGTGTATGTCAAGCAGGTGGAAGGAAGCTTTTATGTTGCTTAACCAAATGTTGAGAGCAAACATCACACCAAATATAATTAAACATCACACCAAATATAATTACCTTCAATACTTTGGTTGATGGACTTTGTAAGGAAGGAAAGGTTTCAAGGGCTCATGGCATAGTCAAATTGATGAAGCAGAGAGGAATAGAGACTGATGTTATCACCTACAATTCATTGATGGATGGATATTGTCTACACAACCAAGTAGATCAAGCTAGAGAAATTTTTGACATGATATAAGCCAGGGTTGTGCTCCTACTGTTGTTACTTACAGCATCTTGATTCATTGTTACTGTAGGAGAAAAAGGATAGATGATGCAATGCAGCTTCTTGCTGAAATGCCTTGCAAAGGCTTGATGCCTAATAATTTCACTTATAATTCTCTTATACATGGCTTTTGTGAAGCAAAGAGCCCTTGGGCTGCGCATAAGTTTTTCAAGGACTTGTGTGCTAGTGGTCATTCTCCAGATAATGTAACCTACTCAATTCTGATAGATGGCTTTTGTAAGCATAGTTAGGCATGGCCACCGGTTCGGTTCTAACCGGAACCGAACCGGAACCGAACCGTACTGTCCGTACTGCTAGACGAACTAAAAACCGGACCGAACCGGCGGTTCAAGGCCGGTTAAGGTTCATGTTGAAATGTTTTAAAAAATCGAACCTGAACGGCCCGGAACCGCGCGGTTAACTGGAGGTTTCGGTCCCGGTTCGGAACCGGATTCACAAATTAAAATTATTTTATTGCCAATAATGTGAAAAAAAAAACATTCATCATTTTGGTTTATAAAAAAAGGAAACATCATCATTTCACTTTTTTTTTTTTGAAAGCTTCATCATTTCACTATTTCATTAATTCACCGTTTGAACTTGTTACAATACATATTTTTTTTTTAACCTATACAATTACAAGTTTACATAAATATAAGTTTCAAACTTCAAAGTTCAAACGGATATATTTATAATTGTTTTTTAAATTTTAATTAATTATTTATTATTTATTAAATTTTAACTAAAATTATCCAAAAATATAATTGTTTTTTCTGTTATAAGGACAAATTTGGAAAACTACATAAATGAACAAATATGTATAAATATTGATGATGTTGATTATTTTTTTTTCACAACCAATATATTCTATCCTCTCCTCTTCTCTCATAATATTTGCTTTATTTTCATAACATCTAATTCTAAAATTCCATAATTTCATATTCCATTATTCATTTTTTTTCCATTAATTCCATTTAAAATTATGGCCACACAATTCACAAAGCTCCAAGGGAAAGCAAAGTTGCTCCAAAGCGTGGAAGAAATTGATTCAAATGATCCATTGATGACTTTTTCACCACAAGAAGCAATATCTCCTAATATTTTCAATAGGTAAACCACCAAAACAGATATTTTCAAGAAGCCACTTTGCCAAAAATTGTTCAAGATAATAGAGAAATCCAATGCGGGTTCGATGTACATTTATTGCCAAAAAAGAATATCATTTCAAGCTTGGAGCGAGGATTATGGCGCTTCTCAATAGGCATTTAAATCACATCATCCAAGTGAGGTAGGAATGGATGTAACTCAAAGTCAATTATCGTCATCAAGATATTAGTGATCCTAAGCACTCCTCTATTTAAATTATAGTGATGAAACTAATAAAATTGAAAATGGCTAAAATGGTTTGTTTATGGAACGCATTATCTTTTTCATTTGGCTGAAAAAATTGGATTTAAATATCTATTTCAGAGATACGTAAGGCAATTAAATTAAAATTTTTCAAATTTTAATTTAATTCAAGCCAAAATAAAAAAATTATAATATTTCTTATATTAGTGATGTTAGCAAAAATTTGTAAATTTTAATGTAATAATAGTTCTAAGTTAATAGAAGTTTTTCTAAGTTAGTTAATAGAAGTTTTTTTTTTAAATTTTATAATAATTTATTTAGTTAATAAAATTTCAACATTTTAAAATTATTATTTATTTATAAATTCGTAATCAAAATTTTATTTTTTAAAAAAAAATTTGCGTAATACCGAAACCGAATCAGAACCGTAATTTGAACCGTCGGTTTGCTGGAACCGTGTCAAACCGTGGTGGAACCGGAGGTTCAAGGGTTGGTTTCGGTTTAAAATTTTAAACATCTCAAACCGGCGATTCACTGAACCGGCCATGCCTAGGTTCAAAATTTTAAACATCTCGAACCGACGGTTCAGTGAACCGGAACCGGCGGTTCACTGAACCGGCCATGCCTAAGCATAGTTGTCTTGATACGGCGTTGGATCTATTTCATGAAATGCCAAAAATCTTATTGAAGCCTCATCTTATGGTCTATAATAACCTGATTGATGGTATGTTCAAAGTTGGAAAGGTTAAAGATGCAAAGGAATTGTTTTCTAGACTTTCCATAGAAGGGTTGAAGCCTGGTGTTTTCACATACACTATAATGGTCCATTGACTTTGTAAAGAAGGATTACTAGATGAAGCATCGAAGGTTTTCAGGGAAATGGAAGGGAAGGGTTGCTTACCAGATAGTTGCTCTTATAATGTGATTATCCAAGGATATCTCCGACACAAAGATTTCTCCATGGCAGTACAACTTATTAATGAAATGGTTGGTAAGGGGTTCTCTACAGATGCGACCACCACAGAATTGGTTGTAAATTTAATTTCGAGCAAGAAAGATGATCCGCTTTTACAAAAGTTGCTAAGCGGCTCTAAACCTTCTCAAGGTGTAAGTGCAAAGTGAGATTTTAGGATAGAACATTTGTCATATAATTGCCACTTGTTAGTTAATATTACAGTTTCACACAAAATGATAAATTGTGTAATCAAATAACACCTTTGTCGTTCTCATTAGTTTAGTATGAAATAAGCTTAGTTTCGTTACAGCAAGACAACATACATAAAATAGAAACAAAATTTTTAAATTTTCTCATATGTCATGAGATATTCTTTAGGCTCAAACTATGCAAATTTGCTTTTGATCTGCATTTCAAACTGCTCTTTTTGGTTTACAGATACATTCAAGTTATGGCTTTTCATAAGAAGATCCTTCAGTCCTGAAACGTGGTTGATCTTTTGTTCCTGGCAATGGATGTTTCCTTTGCCTATAATTTGGAGAAAACTCACTAAGTTGCTTGTGTTCTGTTTAAACTGTGTTGTTCATTAAACAGACAAGCGGTAAATGCATTATTTCAATTCCCAATTAACTTCCATCTCAGCAGGACAGAAAAAGTTCAAATTCTGCAGATGCGATCTACTCCTTTCGAGGCAAACAGGAAAAGAGAAAAATGACAATCCTAGTACAAAAAATTAATCTCCTGCACATTACATGAAGGTGAGGATCCTTCTTTCAGCTTTTGATATTCAAATTTCAAGCTTATCAATTAATTTCACAGGTCCTTTTCTGCAACAAAAAAACCAATATCAGGTAATATTTAAAAAGTGAGATAATTGTCTTGTGATGCCATAAGAATCTCCAGTCCTCAATAGCTCTGGCCATTTTAACTGAATATGATGGAGTAAATAATTCACATTAGAAATAAATAACTTCGGACATATACAGAGAATAATAAAAACAAAACCAGATAGCTTCCCACATAGCTCCATAATATGCTTCGAACTTAGCTTGCATAGTAGAGATGATGCTATTGTCTCATTTGTCTGCTCAGCACTTTTCCAAGATATAGCTTCGCCAACTAACATAAAGATTAGTCTATTGGTGGAACTATAGACTCCGGTCTAGGCAAGTATTTTTCGGTAAAGATATACCCTGACGTGCTTTCAATCGTCTAAATATCTAACAAAACTAGAGTGTGTATATGCTAACAGTTCCGGGTGCTCAACTTTTTTGTATGTAACATATAATTTGTTTTTCTTTCATCTTTTATTTCAAATAAGAAAATAAGATAAATTTGCATAAAATCCACCAAATTTATTGAACCGACACGACCAAATATATTCAGTTTGATTCTATTTGGTTAAAAAGAAAATTTATAGTTGAGCAAATGCACATCTGACATTCCTATCTGCACCGAAGTAATAGTGGAGCTCTCTCTATCCTTTGTTAAACAAGCCCAAACATCCTGTTTAACTAGAAGCACATACATATCTTAATGCTAAAACTCATGTCTAAAACCATTGAGTATTTAATCCAATTTTGACGAGTTGGGATGATGAATAAATGAGTTTGGGAGTTTAGACAAGATTTTTACTTCTCGCATTAGATTTAGATTCAAAGACTTGCATATCCGTTATCTATCACCCGTCCTTTAATTAATATAAAGTAGTAAAAATAACTTTTTTTTCAAAAAAATGATAAATATACCTTCCTAATGTAGTTAGCATTGTATATTTAACATAGATGTATATTTTTTTATTAAGTTCAAATAAAATTTACAAATTTTTATTTTTTTTATTTTTTAAAATAAAAAATTTTTATTTTTTTTTATTTTTTAAAAATAAAAAAAAATATATAATATATATATTTTTAATATTTTAAACAAGTAATATTTTTAATATTAAACAAGTATTTAAATAAGTTTATATTAATTGTAAAATCATAATCAGATTTAATTTAAAACAGATTAACAAAATAAAAGTGAATTTTTAAATAAATTCAAAATGGATTTGATTTGTTAATTTATAATCACGTTCCGATCGAAATAATGAATTCTCGTGATTTTAGAGTTGATGGGCAAAATAATGCATTTTGGTAAATAATTTCAGAATCACATTATTTTGGTCACACCCTCGTAACCACCAGAAAGTCCATATTTATAAAGAGCTCGTCCTCCCTCTCTCTTTTCGACGTCCACATGAAAGGCAGTATCTCCCTTCATCCCTCGCTCTCTTCTCCACTCTCTCATCCGATCCCAGAAAATCTGACAAAATGAACCGGTGAAGAAGAAAAATCTAAAGAATGGGTGAGACGAAATGAGAGCGGCATTGTCAAATTTCTCTCAAATACAGTATCCAAGATTGGTTCACGATAATTTCTCTAATTTGCTTACTTATGTTGAAAGAGAGAATTTATAATATGTTATTTCCTCCCAGTACTTTAGCAAAACTAACCCTAAACAACTACAACTCTTTCAATTCTCCTTCAGTTTCGATCAAAGTTTTGCAGACAATAATAAATTGTGCAATCATATAATTTATTGACTAAACCCTAATTTTCAAATGTTCTCATACAAAATGAATATATCAAATTGACAACATGTTCTATTTTTATCCCTTTTCTGTCCTTCCCTCTTTTTTTTTTTCTTTAAAGAACGAAAGGGAAAGGGCTTGAAAGGCAAGATCATCTACCACTCGTGGCTTTCTTGTCTAAACTAATAACGTATCTAAGAACCGAATACTGGTTAGGCTCGATCACTTTTACTTTTGACAACCAGCTATTCCTTGCGTTCATGCAAGCAGTTACATTACACATAAGCGTTTCCCTTCTATCAGCAAATTATGCAGAATCTGCAAGGAGGTATACTAACCTTCATTTCAAACAGCTCCTTTTGATCTACAAATACATTCAGGGTATGGATTTTCATAAAAAGATTCTTCGGTCCTGAAACGCGCTCGACCTTTTATTCCTGGCAATGGACCTTTTCTTTTCCTTGGAGCTCCTTGCCTATGTTTTGGAACAAAACTCAGTCAGTAGCTCATAATACTTCTGAAATTTTATTGTTCATGAAACAGACTAATGACAAATGCATTACTTTAGTTTACAGTTAACCTCCATCTCAACAGGACAAAACAAGTTCAAATGCTGCAGGTGCAAGTTGTTAAATAAAATAGATTCAATATTCTCCTTTTGAAGTGAACATGAAAGGAGAACAAAGTACTAAAATCTTAAAAAGAGGCAATAAACTTAGTAAAAGAAAGTATGAAAGAAATATACCAGAAGTTAATCTTGAGAAAACTATCAAATAAATTACAGAAACTTGCAATAAAATTTACCTGTTCTTATGCATCTCCTGCACAATGTATGAAAATGAGGATCCTTCTTTCAGCTGTCCATTTTCTAGCTTATCATATAGTTTGACAAGTCCCTTTCTGCAACAAAATACCAAATCGAAATCAGGTAACATATGAAACATTCTTGGGAAAAATTATATTAAAAGTTTTTTTTTTTTTTTTTTTTTACATTCTTGGGAAAAAAATTATAAATTTAAAAGTTTTTTTTTTTTTTTTTTTTTGGGGGGGGGGGGGGGGCGGCGGGCATTCTGGCGGGGAAAAGAACCAGAAAAATTAGTCCATCCGGGGCGGCATTCTGGCGGGAAAAGAACCAGAAAATTAGTCCATCCCCCCCATTTCCCAAGGCATAGCTTATGGCAACAGAAATTAGAGAGGGAATAAGACAACAATGGATCCAAAGGATCAACAGAGCATGTAGTTGAGAAAATTACTCATAAGTGAGAAATATTGTATGAATTATTTCAATGTAGTTGAGAAAAATTGTGGCACTCGAGTGAGAAACATACATAATCTGACATTGTAATAGTTCCCAACAAAACAACCAGCCATTATTAAAATTGAATAAGCATAAAAGACTGACTAGAATCCAAATTTTTGCCAGAAAATGATTTCAACACTACCAGAGCCCTGTAAATAATCGAAGGTGAAAAACTCCTGCAGCATCCTTCTTGAACCCAAAAGCAGAAAACAATTGGTGCTTGATAGTATTCCCTATGGTTTCATGTGCATACTTGCCAAGGTGATTACCTCCCACTAATTAGACATACTACAAGTGGCCTAAATTTAAGCACTCATGCTATCAGTTCTTATGTATTCCTAGGAAATTATCTGGATTGGATCTATACCGATCTGGATGAATTGTCTTGCGATGCCCTAAGAATCTCCGATGGCCCTCGACAGTTCTGGCCATATTACCCGAATATGATGGAACAAATACATCACTCTCAATAGAAATAATGTAATCAAGTGCTGCAGTCTGAGAGGCATGCTTAGCAAATGCTTTTAATTCTTCTGGTGTTGCCAATGTTTCCTGAAATAATCCATACCAGTTCATATTAACATTATTGGCAGTTATGATGACATCAAACCATTTGCCAAATGCAGTTACCTACAAAATTATTGACCAACCTTGAAAACTGTATTTGGGAAGCGAGATGTGAGTTCTAAAAGGTGAGATTCACAACCATAAATTTCACCGGCTGCAATGTAAATTACTGTAGATGGAGAATAACCAAGAGCTTGCAGAAATACTCCCACCTCTTTTGGAGTTAAAGGACACAATCCTCCCTCTCGCTGTTCTGTTGAGTTTATCTTTTTCACCTTCCAATGGTTTGTGTTCTCTCTGAAAAAAATAATAACAACATAAATAACCAATAAAGTAAATTAAGCCATAGATTGTGAAAATTATACCACTTTGAAAACCAGCTATTCCTGAAATGCTTAAGTCAAGATGATAGGATGGGAATGAACAACCTGCTAAACCTAAGTTACTGAACCTGTCAGCACCATAGAAGATCTCTATATCAATGCTATATGCATTCTCTGGTGAACCACATCAAAATTCAAACATATCAAAAATACAAGTTCAAAAATCAAATGACTACATTCTACTCCAACATTTCAACAACAAATTCAACACATCTTATGGAATCAGATAAAATATCAAATTGATGCAACGGTGCACCCTAAAGCCACATTAAGAATAGGTCAATGAGAGGATAATAGCTGAAGTACACCACATTGATCCGAATTTATTCACTACAATCTGATCTGAGCAACATATCAAATATACATCCAGTATAAGTGTCTGTCACTCAGGCTCACATAAACACGTGCAACACATGCACAAGCACAAAGAGAGAGAGAGAGAGAGAAAGCGAGGTATCCTCAATATTATCACCTCATTACTCGCAACTCTTCAGATTCTGTCTCAGTCAAACCATATGTGCAACCGGTAAAAGAAAGCATGTCCTTCTCATATCTTAGATGAAGTGCAATGTATCTTCCTCCACGTGATCTCAGTCGCTCCACCAGCTTCTGTGGTGTCATCGTCATGCATTCTCAGAACCTAATTTAACAGGAATCCCCATAGGAGACCTCAATGCTATTGACACTGAAAATAAGTGTAAACCCGGCATCATGCATGCTATGTTGTGAAATTAATACACGAACTATGAGGTTTTAACAATTTAAACAAATATATATTGATTTAGACCAGTTTCAACTGCTATTTAATCAGATACTCTACTGTTCAGTTTAGAAACTTGAGGATTTTCCAAAACCAGTTTAATTTTTGAAAATTGTTGCTCGGAATGTCAACAAAAAACATGTGTTCCCAACCTTTCCTAGGCTTTCAATTGAAGGAGAGAAACGAAGAGCATGATACAAGGCACGGCATCTTAACCTCTGGATATCAAGAGGCAAATCATTGTTTGCGAGACGAGAATCTGACTTTGGAACATGAATCACCTACAGGGAGTCAAAAATAAGTAGATGAACGAAATGAAAAAATATTAGCATAAAAAATGCCCAAGAACTAATGAACAGGATTCATGCAAATACTGAAACATTGAAAATGTAACAAGCTCAAAAAAATAAGCCACCTATTATATAATCAAAGAAAAAAGTTTAGCAACTGTTTAATTGAGAAACTAGTCCACAGAAATAGAAAATTGGAGTTTCCTGCATAAACATAATAATTTTCCAGCTTGGTGGAAATAATTTTTTTTCCAGTTTTCCAAAAGTATACTAATTATAGAATAAATAAGTCTCCCATTTCCCTCAAAATTGGAAGCTAAGAAAATAACGAATTAACCCCACTATGTGACAGGTCCTTCACAAGTTAAAATAATGTTCTTCAGCATGATATCAAAAATCCATAAGAAAGAAATGGAAAGTACTCTAGACTACTGAAAACTAAGAAAAATTATTGCCTGTACCTGAAATTCCTTCCATAACCGTGTCATCTCTTCATAGTAACCCATTCCCGACCAGGAGCCAAAATGTTTCCTTGCCCGAGGTAGATACTCCAATTCTTTGGGGAGCTCCTTGACAATCCTTACATCATTTTGTAAGCTTGAGATGAAATGCAGCTCATTGAATATATCTGAAAATGTACTGCACAAGGGAACCATGATTAGTGAACAACAGCAACTCGAGGACTATGAATGTGAAAGAGAAGGTGAAAAAGACAGAAAGAAAAGAAGAAAGAAAGAGTAGAGATAGGATTGAAATTATCCACAAATGCTAGAAATGGTAGAAACACACCTTGAGTCTTGCCAAAATGAACGTTTATCCAATTGAGGAATGACTAATGTAGCATTCATGATGTGTGCAACAGCCACCATGTCTGAAATCTGTAGCAAAAACACAATTATTGACTTCATATGGACAAATTATGTTGCAAAGTTAGTTGCACAGCAGATACACAAAAGCCTCATTCACCTATGACCTAACCATTAATTATCAGTGGTTCATATAACTTCCTTGTAGATTCAGTTGTGTGCTCATATTTAATAAAATGATCTAAGACATCTAAATATGGACAACTTGTTAACTTCATGCATCATGCACAACACTCACTATTCATAATGTATTTATCATTAAGATGCCAGCATTTAAGAACACGGGAGCCAAGTGATAGGCAGTACAAGTGCTACTTAAAAACAAGAAGTTCATGAAAGATACTGATGCAGACATTCAAAAATTGCAGCTGAAATTATCAAGATGGCTCACCTTGAGAATTTGCCTATACATATCGAGGCAAACAGGAAGGAAAATGCAGCAAAGAATATAAAATACAGATAAAATTATTGCTATAGCCTCATCTATGAAAGCAGATAGAAAAAAAAAGGGAAAGGCAAACATGCAAATACTAAGATGATTGTGTGAACATACAAGACATGGCCATATAAAAATAAGCATATTCATCAACAGCCATTGAAAATAAGTAGAGAAGGCTGTTTGAGATGGTCTTGAAATGTCCAACCTAGTTCAGTAAATAAGGTGGTAGAAAAGATTGAGTATATCTAAATCATCTAAATAAAAAGGATAAGTAGACTTAACATGAATTTAGACATCATGGTGATGAATACTTTAACAGCACTCACCCCTTTTATAAGTATATCCCAAGGACAGTAGAATGAATCATATGGTCAACCATAACAAGAGAAGGATTAAACTTAGTTGAGCTGAGTTAAACTCATCTAAGAGAAAGAGATCACATGAATAGTGAAAACACAAAGATTAATTTAGGCAAGAGACAGGAAAAGTAAATACATATGTCATAAACTTACACCAGTGCGCATTTGGTTTAGTCCACCATTGCTTCTCACAGTTATATAGCGGTCCCATCCTTGAGCAGCTGACGTTTCAACAAGAATTAGATAGAGAAACATGCATATGTTTGTTTATATACATATTATGAGAGACAGAGAGAGAGATTGAAAGAGAGAGGGGGAACTGTCTCCTTAGATATGCCTGATGATACTGAATCAAACTTAAAATCTACCATTAATAACCAGAAAAAAACTAAGTCGAATGGATGAAGAGCTCCAATATTGTGTTGGTCAACAATTCAACATCAATTCCCTGACTTAAAAGAGTGGTGCACAACCCCAAGTATTTGACAAATAAAAGAACGAAAGCGGGTTTTTATAATTTTTACCTTTATATTTAGGCGTAGGATTGACACAAGGCCGTAAACCATGGTTGATAGAAGTAACCCACAGTTGCTCATTAGGCATCTGCAAAATTAAAATCAAAGTACTCTTATATCCTCAAAATTCTATATCAAGATCTTAGTTAATTCATAAAAAAATGTTTGCTTATAGCTTGTGCAGAGTAATAATTTGTATTGCATTCCAGAAAAAGCAAGGAAATTATTCTTTATTTTTGATAAAAAAAAATTATTAAAAAGAAATTACTATGGAGAAAGAAGGAGATTCTAATTCGTACCAAAATCACAAACAATTTAATATCCTACACATAAGACTATTAACTTCTCCAGTAAAAGAACATTATCACAGCTCCCAAAGATATGATCAGCAAAATTACAAATAATTTTATCTAAAATAAATACACAAAATTTAAAATCCAAAGCATAAGTGTTCAGGTACGAAATCACACGGAAGCAACACCGAATTCTAAGAGAAAAAAAAAAAGTTGAAGAACAATGAACATTCCAAGGACGTCGCTTCGCGGATTCACAAATTTTCAAACAATAATTCGACTAGCAAGTGTAAATTAAACTTCAACAAAGTGAAAATTTCTCAGATCGCTAAGCCAAAAGGAATTAAGAAAAAAAAAAAAAAGAGTACCTGCTCGGATTGAGATTGAGATAGGGATTTGAATTCATATTCGAATTCGGATTCAGATCGAGTTTGAGCGTGAGATTGTTGAGAGAGGAGAGGTTTGGGCTCATTGTCCGATATGTGCCTTGAGCTAAAAATAAAAATGAAGAGCGAGAAGGCAAAGAGAAGGATCATGTAAAGAGAAATAGCAGAAGGAGATGGTTTTCTTGAGAGAAATCTAGGAAACGGTGATGAGCTTTTCATGTAGGAATGTGAATGTCGTAGACTGTTTACCATCTCCAGCGCTACGCTTTCACTTTCTTCTCTCATTATCTGCTACGTATAGTTGGACCGGTAACTGGGAACTGGGCATACGGGTTGTAATTGGGCCGTCTCGTGTGGGCCCAATCCGAATCCATGGTGTTTATGTCAAAACTCTACCTATCGTTAGTTAACATAGCTCTTATAATAGCTCTTGAAGTCCATGGATTTATTTATTAAATGTTAAACACTCTAATATTTAGTGTTTCACAATATTAATTAAATTTTTTTAACAATCATATCTATTTTGTTTCTCTAAATTGAGCTAATTAAATAACTAATGTCCTTTTTTATTGGCTGTATTCAACAATAGCTTTTGGTCAAGACGCTAAATGCCATTTTTTATAATATTCGGTAATATAGGATTTTGAACTATTTTTTTAGAAATTCATGTAGCGTTTTATAAAAAATTAACTTATGTAAAGTTAACAGTATCCAAACAAGTAATTTTACCGAACAAACCCATCATCTTTAAGTTAAACAATTAATTTTACTGTAATTTTTAATTTAATTCAAATTTTTGGTTTAGTTATTTAGAAAATTGTTTATGTTCCAATTTCTAATTTTAGGAAAAAATTGATTTCTTTTATTTGATTATACAAAATAAAATAATTTACTTAATAGAAAATAAAATAATTTACTTAAAAGTCAAATTGAACCCATTAGTTCAATCTAGTGTTGGCTATTTTATCAATTTAATTCCAAATCGAAGGAAAACACATCCCTAATGTTAAAGAAAGTAGGATTGCTCTAACCAAAAAAATAATATTTTATGATTTAGTGAAAGGCTGTTCATGAGACTGCTTAAACCGTCCAAATTGATCCAAACCAACCCAAATCAATCTAAAACTGCGGTTTTAAAATATTAATGATTTGGTTTGATTTTGTTAAATTTAAAAATCCAATTTTTGGTTCGGTTTACAGTTTTAGCCTCAAAACCGTCCAAACTGAATCAAATCGCTATATATATGTTTAAACTTTTAAATTCAATTTAATTTTTTTGAATGAAAATTTTCTTTGTATTGATTAATTTATATTGGATAGTAAATTATGAAATTAGTTTATATTGGATAAAAAATTGAATAATACTTTCTTATTAATTAGATAAATTATATAATTATTTTATAAAATATTCAAAATATTAAAGATTCATGTAAAATTTTAGATAAATTATATAATTATTTTATAAAAATATTCAATAATATTAAAGAAATTCAATGTTAAAATTATATTTAATATAATATGTGCATAACATTATGTAAAGTAAAACTATTAGATAAATTATATAATTATTTTATAAAATATTCAAAATATTAAAGATTCATGTAAAATTATATTAATATATATGTGCAAACATTATGTAAGTAAAACTATACTTTTTTTTAAATTTTTAGTAATAGATGTAATAAAATCAAAATTTAAATTCTATATTTGTAAATTGATTAATTATTATCTTACTCAATATAATATTTTTCATATAATACCAAAAAAATACATATTCAAAAATTAATTTAAAAATTTTAATAGCTATTCAAAATCATGTGTATTTTATGGCATAATTTTTATTAATTTATTTTTCATATTTTGTATGATGTTTTTTTTTTCTTGTTAATTAGATAAATGAGGAAGTTTAATTTCTTTTTTTCAAACCACCTAAACCGTTAAACTGAACCAAACCACCGCTAAAGGTTTAGATTGGTTTGAAATTTTGATGGTTTAATTTGATTTTAATTTTTCTCAAACCGCCATTTTAGATTTGATTCAATTATTATATTTAAATCGAACCAAACCAACGCAATAACAGCCCTAATTTAATTCGTGAACTTGTAATCTTTTCTATTTGGAAGCAGTTGATTTTACGGTTCAAGCATACCACAGGTTTTGGTAGTTGCATTCGTGTCTTTGCCATCTTACTGGTCAAATGCTCCTTGTCTATACAGTGACTCAATCATTTACTTGTATATGTATTCGAAGACACTTTGGAAAATAAAAAACTATTAATATAAACTATGAATTTACCCTTCTACTTTACATTAAAAAAAAAAAAAATCATCCAAGTGTTTAATATATGTAATTTATGTAAAAAAAATTTAATTACAGTACTTAATATGGGCAATTTTATAAATTAAAGTGTTTAACGAATCAAAGTAAAAATTAAAAGTGATACAGTAATTTTTTTTCTTTTCTGCTTATAAAAAGATGAATTTATACAGTTGGCCAAATCAAAACCTTGAAAGTTTCACTATAATTCTTATAAATGACAAAAATATAGACCAAGACGGTTAGGCCGGCTGCTTCCTTAATTAGTACCAAAATGATGTATAAATTAGCATTCTTTCTTTCATTCTCTCGTTCAATTATACAACCTCAGAAATTAATTAGAACGTGAAATCCATATTGTTGGAGTTTCATCTCTTTCTCATATTCTGTATGAAAAATAATTTTAAGCATCATGTTTATGGAATTGCATATAGTTGTATAACCAATATCTGGCTGAATACATAATTTATCCCCTAAAGTTTAATAAATAAAACTTTGTAATACTCTCGACTTTCTTTTTGTGATAATATCATACATCGTCACGCTATAAATAACAATTTTTTAAAGTTTTTGGCTTTCATATGCAAAATATTGACTTGATCCATGGTTAATACAAATTTAAAACAATAACTTTTACATTTTTCAATTATTCAATAAATGTTTAATCGATTTAATTTTATAAGTTAAAGTGTTCAATAAATCAATTAAAATGCTTAATAGGTGCAATTTTACAAATTAAAGTGTTCAATAGATAAAAGTGGAAATTAAGGATACCATATCATAGGAGTAAATTTATGTATTGAGTCAAAAAAATCTTAAATTCCATTTAGTCTAAAAATTCTTAAAATATATGCCGTTCCAATTGATGATGGAGTACATTGATGCCACAGGCATGCCTGTAACATTTGATCCCATCAGGCAATGCCCAAAATGGTAAAGTTTGACCATATTGGGCAAAAACATTAACTCCAGACTCAGTTTTAGCCATAAAAAAAGTACCATCCAAGTGTAAAAGCCTTGGCTAGCCTTTCTGGTTGGAGCTTAGGTAGAAAAACCCACAGGTGGTATAACCCTAAAGATCCTCAGATTTGGATATCAAATGCTTTCACTTTACTAAAATCCATAACCCAAAAATACCATCTTGATGGTATTGATATTGATTATGAAATTTCCCCAAAAATAATGCTTCTTTTGCTTATTTTATTGGAGAGCTTATATCCCTTTTAAAGAATCAAACTGTAATTTCCATAGCCACAATTGCTCCCTTTTTATTCAACCACTACACCTTATATTGAACTCTTTAACAACTATGGAGATATTATTGATTATGTTAATTACCAATTTTATACCGACAAGATTAGGTCAGCAGCAGCTTATTTGACAACGTTTGAGCTTAGAGCAACACAGTTTTGTAAAGATAAGTTGTTGCCTAACTACCATGGAAAGAGGTATTCAAGGAGATGCATTTTTTGATGCTTTAGCTTTGTTCGAGAAGAAAGGGTTTGATGTTAATGGAATTATGATTTTCTCGTCTGATGCTTTTGCCTGCAATAATCTATACTATATATAAACTGGCCGTCATTGAATGTCAATTAATGCAGCTACTCATTGAATGTCAATTAATAAATGACTGTAAAAAAAAACCAAACCCTTATATTCATGAGGGGAAAAACTGCACAAATCCCTTAATTGTACATTTAAAAATTTAAATCTATTGCCTTTTTAGTTTATCAACTAATGGTCTTCTTGCCATTAATACTACTATAATGATGTCATTTAGAAGGAGAAGAAGAAACAAAACAAAAGAGTAGAAATTAAAAGTTATAAAAATTATAAATATTGACTATTGTAAATTAAAACTCTAGATTAAAAATGTAAATAAAAAAAAAAAATCAAATCAGCACTTTAACACTCTAATTTTTTGCGATATCAACATCCAAGTTTTTATTTTTATATATTTATATAGATAGATAGATAAAAGACAATAAAATATAATATATTCATGCATTAATGGCCAAAAAATTAAATTTAAAAAACTCATAAAATAGAAGACAATAAAAACGCTCTCCATTTTAATAGAAAGATATGTTTAAAATTAACTAATAATGAACTTTCAAAATTAAAAGACGAATAGTTTTTTTCAAAATTAATTTATCATGATAATTACAATTAAAAATAAAATTATATTGGTTTAAGAGAATACTACTATAGTTTTTTTTTTAAATTAATGTTTCTTTAAAGAAATTTCTATAATTTAATTCTGTCAAATAATTGAGTTTCATATTTTTCAATATATTAACTAAAAGCAAAGAAATTCTTCTTCAATTTTGAAAGAAACATTTGTTTTTTTTTTTTCCAATATATTAACTAAAAGATTTAAGAGAAATTCTTCTTCAATTTTTTAAAGAAACGCTTATTTTTTTTAATATATTAATGAGGGCAAGACTACAGTACATATTTAAAAATTTATGTTCTAATACAGAATCTTTTTTCACCATTAGATTTAAACTAGCTAGACATAGATCATTGGATTTGAATTTGATCAAATGACTTGTTACCTATAGAATAGGTTATCAAAAGTAGAGCATTTAGGTTTTTATTGTTAAAATACAAAAAACTATTTAGTTCTGTAAATTAAAAAAAATATATTATTTTTCAACACAACTATAATTCTATAAAACATAAAAATTCAAAGATAGATAATTGTGTAACACTTTAAATTCATTTACTTAAAATAAATTATTTAAAATTTTAATAAATAATTATAAATTTTTTTATTATTAAAATAATTATCATGTATCATGTAATTTAAATTATATATATCTCATATATGACATCTCATTATTTTTTTAATATAGTAAAATTTTTTTATTTAAATACTTATCATGTATCATGTAAATTTAAATTATATATATCTCATATATGACAATCTTCATTATTTTTTTTTTTGTAAAAATTAAAATAAATTAAAAAAAATTTTTTTT